TGGCCCAGGGCGGTAACCTAATCTCATCATAATGAGTCACCTGCCAAATCCCTCTGACCCTGACATTTTTTTATTCATATTTTATTTTAACCTGCCTTGGGGGCCGCTGTCAACACTTATTTATGATCAACCTTTTAGGTTCATGTGGCAAACTTGTAAGGAAACAGTCCATTTACACATCCAGCAGACACAGAGCAACCCTGCTGTAAGATAGAAATGTAGATTATAGCCGCTTTAAAGATCTGGTGTGTGACATTTAGGAGGATCTAGTGGCAGAAATGTAATATATTATTCATAGTTATGTCTTCATTAGTGTATAATGACCTGAAAATAAGCCATGTTGAACTGCCATGTTTCTGTAGTAGCACAGAACGTACAAACCAAACACTGGAAACACTGTGGAATATAAACACCTGACTATTATCTGGTACATTGACTGGAATCAGTTTTCTGCCTGTATGACTCAGGAAGTGTGCAGCAGCCTGCTGTCTCTACTGTGCACATTAACGTCTTCATGTGGTAGCAGTCATGTGTGCATTTGCCGTACTTGATTAGTGATGTAGAACATGAAACCGCCATGTTAATTGTGTTTAATCTAAGGGAGGAGGGCTGATCGTTGCGAGGTTGTAATTACAAGGCAGTAACAGAGACACATCAGGAGCCAACCTCACCGGCTGGACAAGAGCCCAGGCAAACCCTGGAGCAGAGTGCAAGGCGCCGAGGCATGACTCTCGGCTACCTGGGTGGCTGGTAGAGATTAGCTTTCTGATTAATCTGCAGCGGGTAGAGCTTCTGCCTGCCATCCTTGATTTAATGAAAAAGCATCCCATGAAGAAAAATTACAAGGCTCCAAAAGCCTGCAGGTAAATCTGTCGCAGTAAACCAGATCTAAAAAGGATTTGAGGTCATGTCATCGGGATGAAACTTCATCTTCTTTCTTTGCTTGAGCATGTTGGCGCCTGCTGTCGCATGTTTAGTAATATTTCTTCTTCCAAATAAGACACTTTTAGTTTCCTGCCTGACACCAGATGTTTAGAGTTTTCATAACTTAGAATTACACGGAAATACGTTTGTTTATTGTGATTTAACCTTCATCCAACACCAGGCAAGAATCAATAGACTAGAAACATGGAAATTTACCTCCATGTTTCTCTCAATCAGTAAACCACAGAATGCTCCAAAGTACCAAAGGTCCATGCCAAACACATGCAGTTTGACAAGATCAGCTGTTTGTTTGGTTGCTATGGTGATATTTAAGAGCTCCTCAGAAGGTTTGTTATCTTTTCAAACTCACTCTGAAGGTGTGTCTGTATCTGTAGCGTGTGTAGACACCACATAAGAGTAAGCATAACAACATAACAAACACCCATACACACATTCACACACTACTGTACAGACACACATACAGATTATACGTTTTTTAACCGTACTGATCAGGTCAAAGGTTGCTCTGGGTGTGATCTGTTCGTGTTTTAATAATTACACTGAGAGCTCTGGGAGCTTAAAGTCAAAACACTGACATCATCATCATCATCATTATCATGATGCAATCACAAGTCATCAGCTGTTTGGCTACCTGACTTGGATTTATAGTCCAACACCCTGGCCCTGTTCCAAATGTGTTCATTTGACTTTAACTGAGTGATATTTAATTAATTCTATTAAATAACAAACTACACAGATCAGCCATAACATTATGAGCACTGACAGGTGAAGTGAATAACACTCATTATATGGTTATCATGGCACCTGTCAGTGGGTGGGATATATTAAGCAACAAGTGAACATTTTGTCCTCAAAGTTGATGTGTTAGAAGCAGAAAAAATGGGCAGCGTGAGGATTTGAGCGACTTTGACAAGGGCCAAATTGTGATGGCTTAGACGAATGGGTCAGAGCATCTCCAAAACTGCAGCTCTTGTGGGTTGTTCCCAGTCTGCAGTGGTCCAAGGAAGGAAAAGTGGTGATGGGGGGGCCAAGGCTCATTGATGAACGTGGGGAGCGAAGGCTGGTCTGTGTGGTCCAATCCAACAGACG